GCATCAGAAACAACACTTTAAGCAAACTATTATGATAAGAGGAGAAAACAGGTAAGAAAAGATAAGATGATATACGATAAGATAAGATAAGATAGTCAAAACAAGGTTGACGAGAGAACAAGTGAAAATATAAAATAGGACAAATTCACAGCAACTCTATGTTTCATTTGGAGCCATGTTTCTGGTGAATGTAAACTCCATATTTAATCTTCTTTTAGCTCTTTTCTGGTCTCCACCACCTCCTGTCTCCTATCTACTGATTAGATATCATGCAGTGGCTTTTGAGCCTCTTTACTAAAAACAGCTGCCTAAAGTGAAGAAGCTGACCACAACAGGAAGTGCATGTACAGATTGTTTACCCATTTTCCCGCCCTCCTCCTCTTCGCCTTTTGCACTGTGTTGTCAGTGCTGCTTCCGACAGACTCCTGAGGATCTTGTTGGCTCAGTTCTTGTCCCGACTGTGTTTCCTCTCGTTGAGGAGAGTGCTTCCTCGCCCTCTGGTTCTTCTTCTGCTTCCTCGTCTTTCCCTTGCCGTGACTCGTGCTGTCATTCTTGCTCCTCTCTTCCTCCTTTCCGGCGGCGCGACTCGACCCTGACTCGAGCTCCCTGCTGCTCTTCGCCTCTTGCAGTTTCACGTCTTGATCCATTTCTTTAGATTTAGCTTCTTTGTCGTCTTGCAGCTTGTCCACATCGGACACCTCCTCACTGTCCACTGCCTCAGTGTTTTGTACGTCTTGGTCATAGTCCTCGTTGATGGTGGGCAGCTCTTCCTCACTGACCTCTTTCTCAGTGACATCTGGAACATCTGTTTTTGAGGGAGGCTGGGTGTCATCAGTGTGGGGTTCCATCTTAGCTGATATCATCTGCAGAGGTTGTAAGACGCCGCTATCAGCAGCGTAGTCGAGATCGACTGGGATGTCCAACTCTGTGCTGCCGTCTGCTTCCTCCAACAACTGCTCTTCTCTGTCGGCCATTTTGCCAACAGACTCTTCCTTCTCATCCTTGTGAGGCATCCTCTCCACCTCCTCCACCACTTCCTCTTCCGCCTCCTCTTCCTTCACCTTCCCGTAATCTTCCCCTACTTCCGAGTTGTCTTCTAACTTCTCCTCTTCCTTATCCTGACTGGCCTCCGCAGCCTTGCCAGACTCCACCTTGCCTTTGTCCGACTCCACTTCCATTTCCTCCATCTCTCTTTCATCCACTTCTTCCTCTGCTGCTTCTTTCTTCAGGAGGTCCACCAGCTCCTCCTCACTCAACAGGACCGCAGTGCTTTTATCTCTCCTCTCAGTCGCCTCAATCTCTCCATCCTCCTTGTTAGCATTAGCGTTGCCCTCTGAGCTCAACTCCTCTTCCTCCTGATCCTGGCTCTTGGCCTCGAATGTGACTAAAGTGGGTAAGATCTGTGGCTTGTTGGCCTCCTCTGTGAGAGCATCCTTAATAAGAAAGAAGAAAATAATTATTTGAAAGAAATCATCTGACTGAAATAAAACTTCAGATGTCCCACTTTACCATTTCTTTGGCTGTTTGTGACATTTTATGCAATCCACGACGTTTTCCATGATGTTTACTTTTTACCTGGACAAAACAAGTATGATCAACGATGGTCAAATAATTTAAATATCACATTTTACTTGAAGAATTAATAATAACTTTGTTACTCACAGACAGGGCAAGTGTGGCTGCCAGTAAACAAAGGAAAAGTAAGCAGGCCCTCATACCTGGAACATGGAAATTAACAGTTTAAGCACAGAAAAAAATATAAAATAGATCATATGAAATTTAAATTAACGTGAAGCTCATCATAACCAACACATTATATCTTGACTTCAAAACTGGTCACAACAAAGACATGAACTTGGCACATCTTTCAAAGTCAAATAACATGAGTGCATCAGTATGCTGCCAACACGCTCATGACGAGCAGGGCCGAGGCTATTCGTCTCCACTGTTGTCACGGCAACAGGCCTTTGAGATGCGCCTCTCTCTCTCAAAGTCACATTCAGAGCTAAAGTAAACATCAGAAGCTACCAGACTGGAAAAAACTTGTCTAAGTCCACAAACTTTTTGTCTGTGTGAACGGAAACAAAACAGACATTGCTGGGCCTGCCAGGGGGAACAATAGCTCTGTGGATCAAATAACTGGGTGCAGGTGGGAGGGGTGCCTGTATGAACATTCACTGAAAATAATAAGTTGTTAGTTTAATGATGTTGCAAAGGACACATGCAGATATTTCATTTTCTATTTCTTCTACAATATGATTTAGAATGTATTTCATATCACAAATCACAAAACTCCACAACATATTGGGTATATACATATATATATATATATATATATATATATATATATATATATATATATGTAAAAGTGAAAATACAGGTAAGTAAACAACATTTTAGTTTGTCTGTACATGCAATATTAGTATAGGTACATTATAGTAGACAGTTGAATAATACTCACTATGTCTTGATACATATAAAAAGACTCAAAAGCAGTCATCCCCAAAGAGGCTACAATATTGCCAAGCCATACGTCGTTTAACGTGGAACAAATATAATCGAAAACCTTTTTTTTTTTTTTACATCAAACTCTGTGTTCATTATGTCATGTCAAACATGTGTAAAAGTGTCAGTAATAAGGATTTTACCTGAGGCTGGCTGTTGCAAAAGAAAGTAGAATCCAGCACAAACACCAGAATGTGTCTGTGTTGAACCTGTGAAGATGGCCCCTGATTTTTCTGGGTCTGTGGCGCTAATGCCAACTTTGGACTTTGGGAGTGTCTTTGGGCCACGGGGGGGGGGGGGGGGGGGGGGGGGACCCCACACTTTGGTTGATGTTCTGCCAGAAAAAAAATATAAAGAACTATATGGTAATTATTCATGAAAAAGGGGAAAAAGGGGAAAAACAGCATCTGACAGATTTAATCAAATTCACTTTCATTACTGATGATAAACTTGTAACTTAAAAAACAGGGTTCATTCATACATGTTGTGTTTTCCTCTTTTAGCCGTTGTTTCGTGAACAACTGTATAATTGTATTACATATGTATATGTATATTTGTTTATGACAGAATAAAATCAGATCACACTTGTGTGTCACATGAAAGATGGTTTCAAGACACAAGTAAAACATAATATAGACCACTAGATGTCACTGTGTTACAAGTCTGTGTTTCTGAAGCTACAGAGAAACTGAGTAACAACTTCTGTCAGCAGCTTCCTTCAGCAGGGTAATTCAAATAGTGTTCATGGCGGATTTCAATTGTTGTGTTCATTCAAATTTGCAAAGTTTGATTGGTTGCCCTCATGTTTTCTCTGTCTGTGCCACAACAGAGCCAGAGAGATCCAAACACCACCTGTTCAACCTGCTGTCCTCTGGAGGGCAGCACAGGTGTATCAAAATCCAGACTGGCAGATCTAAGAACAGTTCCTTTCTTTAGTTTTCATAGTATTTGTTGCATCACAAATTCATACTAGGTGCAATATTTTATTTTATTCACATTAGCTTCACCACTTGTGTCTCCATCACCAATCAACACTGTCACAATAACATGTTTGGTTGATACCTGGAGCCTTTATTTCTCTCACACTGTCCTCAAATTCAATCAACTTATCTCATGACACTATACGCTGGTTCCATTTTGTGATGAAGATCATGTGATGTGGTCAATAGATCCAGGGGGCACTGAGATTGTTTTCCCAACTATTTCCAGGTTGAACATAAACTCTGAACCTCATTTACATGATGTGACTTTTGGTAATAAAAACTGAATATTTGTATGATTGGTTTTTGTTTAGTTTTTTTAACTTTGCCAAGCAGGTTTTGTTTTCACCTCAGTCTATAGGTTTGTTTGTTTGTTTGTCTGTAGGATTGCATAAAAACTATGCGCTGACCTGAATGCCACTCCAATTATTATAGAAACTGTACAGGTCCACTCACGCGTGTTATAGAACTTCTAATCCATTCTAATTTCTAATCCATATTTGGCTCATATGGCTCAGACAATTGAAAATCTACAGCACATTGGCCCTTGAGGACCAGATTTGAAGTCCTGCTGTAAATATCTATTGCCGTTTAAGAAAATCAATAACTTAGATGCACAACTGAAAGAGTTAATACATCCTAAAAACTAAAATAACCTAAAGAGTGAATGTGAGGACATTGCTGACTGCCGGTCTGTTTGCTTCAACAAGCCTAAATCATCGTCTCCTCACTCCCCCCATCGCTGCAGCAGGATCTTACAACTGCTGGTAGCTGTGGTTTTTGGCAAACAGCTCCAGACTGGTGAACATCCAGTCTAATTACACGTTTCTTTTGCATGGTTGGAATCCGAACTGAGGTTAAACAAAGAATTCTCTAATCTTATTTTGGGCCTGACCATATAAGGACATCCAGGAAACAGTTACGGCCTCAGGAGGGAAAACATAGAAGTCTTTATATGGCTTTCTAAACCTATTTCCAAGAACAAGGCCTATTTTCAATAACATTGTGTAACGGTGAGAAGGTTAGGTTACAAAACATGCTTGTTTTTAGTTTAAAGTATCATTAGTGAGTTAAGTCTTGATGCAAATGTTTGAAACTGTCAGAAGCCTGTTGAAGATGCCAAAAGGTAAATGTTCTCTATTTATTTTTTAAGTTTCTCCAAGTATTTTGCATCTACCCTTGAGCAAGGCTCTACATCCCACATGCACCTTGTCGCAACATTTAAAAATAGACCTGTTGGGTGACTAGATAGTAAATTAAAAACATCAATTTCCACACCGGAAACAGGCATGTCCCTGTCTGGCTGTCCTTCCCCCTCTGAGTGGGTGAGTTTGTTTTTTCTACAGGCCACAAACCCTATGGTTTCCTATGCTGAATTATATTTCACTAAGGACTTGAGAGGGCGTGGAGAAAATGTAGTGACTGCATGAAACAGCTCTGTGTGTGTGTGTGTGTTTGCGTGCGTTGTGTCATCATGTGTATGTTTTCAGCTCGTTCTCCGGAAACAAACACACCTTTTGCGTGTCGACGGGAGAGGGAGTGAGAGAAAGAGAGAGACAAATCCGGAAGGAAGTGATGCAATCATCTTAATTGAAGTTGCTTATATACAGAGGAGGTTGAAGTTTCCTCCAGCAGATCCACACATCACGCTTCTACTGCCTAAAGCACCCGCTTCCATACGTGAACAGACACTGGGTTCTCTTCCTGTTTGCTGCTGACGGACGACTAACTTCATCCCTTCATCGCTCTCCATCCAACAGACAAAGACAGGTAATTTATCGGCTGATTATGACATATTGATTGTTTTCACCAAACCTCATTTTCTGTTTATGACTCATATTTTTTATCCATGCACTGATTTCTAGCTCTTTTCTGATCGTATCTCCAAACTTGTGTTTCCTTTTCTAGCTTTGAATTAGCTTTTTCAATGTTGCTAAATTTATTTTATCATGTTTGCAGGAAAATGAAGGTCACCATCATAACATTTTGCCTCATTGGAGCAGTTTTTGCCAACCCAGTAAGTATGAATCTCTAGAAATAAAGCTCATGAAACTGGATGTTATTTATGTCATTTGATGTACGTTTGGACACATTTATAAACTTTGAAAAATGACTCTTTTAATATATTCAGTATTGATATAGTGGCTCAGTGCTAACATACTCAATACTCAAAACAATATTATAAATGTCTGCAGAACAAATATCAAATATCATCATAGTCCTGCACTGTTTCTTATATTTAGATATTTTTAAGCTAAGTAAACAAATCAATGTGGATTTGTAGGTATTTTACATGTAAATGTAAATGTCAAATATGTACAAATCCACAGAGATAGATCATGTGCATCTTACGGATCCACCATCTGTGGAGTCGTGTCCTCACCTCTTACCCTTGTGTGTTTCCTCTGACAGATTTCTTTCAATGCCCTTCTGGACTCAACTGAGCTTGATTCGAACTCGGTGAGTGCCGTCAGATCTGAACTCCTCTCTTCAACATGGTGGAGCTGTGCTTTACAAAACCTCCACACAGTTTACCCATAAATCATTTGACTGCAGTCAGCAGAAAAACTAACAATAGGTGCGGTTATTCGACGATTCCTCCGACCTCAAGACAATTCCCATGTCTGCACCATTTATGCAGCAACAGCTTTTGGTTCTTAAATGATGGATGAGTCTTGAATGAATGTGATGATTGTTGAGGCTGCAGTTAAAGGGTATAATTAAACATACTGGGGTGTGTGCTCACTTTTGTTTTTATTTTTTTCCCCCAGACAGAAAGTGCGTCTGTTTCACAATCGTCTGAAAATAGCACCTCAGAGCAGGTACTGTCTAAGTTTATTCCACTCATGATGAAATGATTCCTTTTGGATGCAGACTTTCAGCATCGTGTTTGACTGCTGCGCTCCACTTTAATGGATTTGTATTCCTTTGTGTTGCAGAGCTCTGAAGAAAGCACATCAAATCAAGTGAGTCACTCGGATTTTTCTATTTCCTGCGAAAAACAAATCTAATTATTCTGATATAATCGATCGGCTGAAAATGTGTCTGACGTCAATCTATGTTTGTTTGCAGAGTTCAGAGTCAGAATCCTTAGAATCCACATCAGAGGACACGGTGGGTTGAACGAGCAAATCAATCATATGACAAACCCTACTCAATAATAATAATAATAATATCAAATTAAAGTGAAAATTCAAATAAAGAAAGGAGAAATAAGTTTGTCTAATGTAATGTTTCTTTTCCTAAAAAAACAGACTTCAGAGGAGAGTGACAGTCAGTCAGATGAGTCAGATGGGGTAAGATTAAAGAAAATCTAATATTCTACCAAACCTACTTTATTCTCAAAATGTTACAACATAGTGCAAAATATTTCCACTCAGCTTAAATTATTCACTGTTTGTCCACAGAGTGACTCCATGCCTGAAACCAGAGATAACAGCATGAGCAGTGAGGAGAACTTACGAAAGGTGAGTTAAACTGTTGCTTTAAGATAAAATGCTAAGATAAGATACGAAAAGGTTAGATAAAATGAGATGTTTCTACTACTTATTTACGTCATCATATCAAATTGCAGCTTCACAGAAAAAATCATATCACATTTCTTCAATTTAAACCTGCAATAACTGTGTTAACTGTGTGTGGTAACTTGGGGGCATCAGAATCGACACAACAGGCACATAAAATAATTATTTTTTGTTGATGTAGTAAGTTTTTAGCAAATTAACAGTTAGATAAGACAAGATAAGATTATATGATAGATAAACCAAAAATGAGGTAGACAAGATAACTTACACACTTCACTACAGACAGAATATTGTGGGAAGAGAAAAAGACTGAACAGATTTTACAGTTGAGTAACTCTTTATTTTTTTCTGCATCAGAGTTGGGTTCAAGTCTATAACGTCATGCAAGACCTGAGTGACGAGGACAACAGCAGCACAGAGGTCAAGGGTCAAGGGGAGCAGCTGAGCACCCAGCAGCCCACTCACACCTCCACGATTTTCAAACAGGAGGTCAACACCACTCAACTAAACCAGCCCCTGGTGGATAGTCCCACCAGCAGCAGTGAAAGCACAGAGAACAGCGAGGCCACCGCTGCTCCCTCGGCCTCCACCAGCGAGAGCAGCAGCAGTGAAAGCAACGAGACCAGCGAGAGCAGCGAGAGCACAGAGGACAGCACCGCCAGCGACAGTGCCGAGGTGCAGAAGATGAAAGCCAGTGACTGTGTGAATGGAACCCAGAGCTGTGAAAGCGAAGAGTACTTCTTCCACGATATAGGAGACGACGCCCATCACGGTGTGGACAATCTGATGGTGCCGGACGACGACGAGAGGGAGCTGACTCTACGACGATGATCACGTGCACTTGCTTTAATTTTCCCACTATGAACTACAACACCATCATAATGACCTGACTGAGGACTCTCATGTTTACTCTTGCCCATCGCTTCTGAATGTTGATTTCTGGCCTTATACTGTTACCTGCAGCTGGTTTATTGTGTGACTAATATTATGATGTATCCGAGCATTTTACTTTTTTGGTTTTGTTTTGAAAATAATAATAAACAAATTTTATTACCGTGGTATTGGGGACTTGCACGTTTTTATATATTTAGACAGGCCAAGTTAAGGAAAGTAACATAAGCAGTAATAATTACTAATTAACATTAGACTTTGTTCAATTAAAAAGAGAAAGAAAACACAGTATTTTCAATGTATTCATCATAATTGCACTATATTTCTTTTTTCTCTCATAATTATGAGATACTGACTGAGGGCTGGGTGCAGCAGCCATGGTTGAGAGACTGCACTCGAACCACCTGTCGTTTTCAAGGGTGCAATTGAACATCTCTGGATTGTGCAGCTCTGGAATCACATACGTGCAGAATGAGAACAGGGAAACAAGGTGTCATGTTTTTCATATCGTAAAAAGCTATTGAATCATTACATCAATCGTTTCATCGGCATGAATCAACACTGATAAATTCTATCTATTTAATAATCATCTAACAGAGTGCACAACTTCAAATGTGCTTCTTTACACATTTTCAAAAAGTGGTTGTATTAATTCTATGTGTTTGTAAACAAAAGAACTCAAATTAATCCCATTCATAAATAAAATAAAGGATTTTAAACTCACCTTAAAGTTGAACATCTGAGTGAAGTCAGTGAAAGAAGTCGAAAATTCTGATCTGCCAGTTTGTGCTTCCTCAGTTGAAAGATTAAAACTAAGCTGCTTTTCCCAAAAGGCTGCTGAGAGCTGATGGGAACATTTCAGTTTGAACGGAACTGGGACTTTTTATTTTTTGCAGGTGAGGCCTTGAGGTGAGGCCTTTGCAGTTTCCCTCCAAACGTGACTTCCTGATTTACTTCCTCATTTCAGAAACATGCATCTTTATTGTCTAAACCCAGAGAAGTTGAATGCATCACAGTGAAATAACGCTTTCTGTAAAATACAAGAGTCCCCTTCTTCAACAAGGGTTGTTCAACCATTGACTTTAAAATCCTCAGTAGTGACAGCAGGCTGTCGGCCTAGTCGCACAATGTTTACTACACAAAGAAACTTTTCATGTTGAATCAACAAACATTTATCCTTCAGATACAGAACAATATGAACTCAAACAAAAAAACATGCTTTCCCTCCACTAGTGAAACATCTCAAACAAATGTCAGAAGAACAAGAAGTGAAGTGACTGCTGGACTCACCGGATGTTCAGAGACAGAGCTGCTACTGGACCAGCTGCTGTGCGGCCATCTCTCCACAGGGCGGCGCCATCATGACTTCTACTTCACACATCAATTCAAAAGTGTTGAAAGGAAAGATTGGAGACTTTCTGTCTTTATATGATTTTTCACAATATTTATTATCTATTTAATTCTCTCTCCTATCAGTGGAATTCAATGGCTGATGAGCATTCCACTGTATATATTCAGTTTCAATTGTATATATGATTTCTATTACATTTCTATTTTATAATTTAAATAAATACATCCTTCTTAGTAGCACTTAGTGTAATAAAAACACCTGAAAATAACAAAATGTTATTTCAATTGTACATAATTGGGGACTTTTTACAGACTTAATAAATTAACTCTATATTGGCCCATTTAAAAAAAATTATAAATTACGGACATGCGCTCACGGAGGACGGATCACCATCATGTCTGCAGCCAGGTACTCTTGCTCTTTTTATAGTAATGAGATACTGAGTCTTTATCATGAGAAGGTTTCTCATGATAAAGACTCAGAGGATCTTTATGTTTTTCATCACAGTAGCAGTAACGGGATTCTATGAGTTTTATATGTCACTGACATATCTGAAAACTTTTCACGGGTGTCACATGGCCGGTTAGCTCAGTTGGTTAGAGCGTGGTGCTAATAACGCCAAGGTCGCGGGTTCGATCCCCGTACGGGCCACACGTTCTTTTTTTCCCACTGGCGGAGGAAGGTTTTATTTACCCGGTACACTGTGTATAAAAGGTCCAGTATGACACGAACATTAATGTTTGCAACACTGCCTGAGGCCTACCCTCTTCAACACAGAGACAGTCCTGCATTTGTGTTGACTGAATCCATTCATTTGTCTTTAACAGATTTTCATTAAGAAATATTTGCATACTGTAGAGTACTGGTGTTTATCAGAGTACACAGGAGTACTTTTATACAAGGAAAAACTTCACAAAAGCTGTGATGAGCAGCAGTCTCTCTATCTCTCTCTACCCCCCAATCGCTCTTTATCTCCCTCTTTCTCCCTCGCCCTAACCCCCTCCCTCCCTAGCTGTCTCCCTCTCTATTTCTCTCTCTCTTCTTAGCTATCTCCCTGTCCATCTATCTCTCTCTCCCTCCCCATCTCCCTCTCTATCTATTTCTCTCTCTTTCTATCTCTCTATCTCCCTCTCTATCTTTTTGTATCTCTCTCTCTGAACCACAGTCTGTGTGAACAACCAGGACGTGCTGCTGGTGTGACCCAGGCGATAGTTGGTCTTCACAACTCTACTTTACAACATGATCGTGATATAGATACATGTCATTCAATGTATTGAGTATATTATGTTTATATTGATCGATTTCTTCTTCTGTTTAAAACTGTGGTCGGATTGAATGTACCAACAGGATTGAAACATAGATTTGTTATATTCTGTGTAATGATAATAGGACTTTCTATGTCTAAAGTCTAATTGTTCAACTGATTAAAGAGAGCAAACATATTGAGGCTTATAGAGCAAAATAACACAGGAACATGCATGAGATAGGATTTGATGTAACTGCAGTCAGATGTTCAACACTCTGCTCTGAGAGGCATGACCATGGTTTCAACTCCATAATGATTTCGTCATAATTTCATAACATGAGCACAAATTATCCTAATGAGAATTAACTGGATCATTTTACCCTGATACCTTTATGTTAGCTTAACTTATGTTTTATGGAGCAGGGTGTCAAAGCTGTCAAAAGCTTGTTTTTTTTTTAAACTTTGGATAAAAATGTAGCACCAGGTGGCGACAAAGTCAACTGTTCATGACTTTGTCGGTGAAAGCTCCTAAATTCCTCCACTGGTGTTTTCACAACAAAGAATAAGACCTCTGCTCAGTTTAAGATGAAAGTTACCAGCAGACCTGACGCTACACAGAACACTTTGTCAAACTAATAACAAATTAAGAGATGGGATATCTTCACAGCATCATATTGAGTCATCACATACAACATACATTTATTATAAAAAGTTGAATTCTGAGGTAAGATCTTCAGGTGCTGGGTCCAGAAACTAACATCACTAAAGTCCTCTCTCTAAACATATAAACATGTGACCCTAAAGCAAACTAACACTTTTTATTTCATCTTTCATTTCTGTAGCAGATGGAGGCTCATAAATATAAAAAATATAATTTACTGCTTTTTCTGCTTTTCTGAAATCTGTATTGAAGTTGAGCAGAAATTGTTTAACTAGAACACAATTGTCTTCAATTTTTAACAAAAGACATATTTAGATATAGTTCTTACAAAACATTTAATAACATATTTACATGTTTGAAAGTTAACAAGGAACAGAACTTGTCTAATGACATCCAGCATGAATGACATGCATGTTCATTAACAAATGATAAACTGAACTAAAGACATGATAATGTACATTGTGTTACAGTCACAAAGTAACAATATACAACAAGAATGTTTTACAAAACTAGAACTCATGATTAACAAGTACAAATCAAGTTTTGAACCGTTAACATGTGAGTGACTGTGTCCTTTTTGTGGAAACATTGTTATCTGGGAAAGTGAGACTTCAGGTGTTCCTTCAGAGCTGGTATAGTGGGAAGCTCTCTGCGACACATGTGACAACGAAGAGAAAGTTTCAACAACTCACTGCTGCCTTCTTTCACTGTGACCCTTCCACTGGTTTCAAGCATCCGAACGACATCTGCAGATAACGAAAAGTGCACGTTTGCAGTAAAATGTGAGTGAGGAAGTGAGGAAAGTTCAAAACAGAGTGGCGTTACTCTCACCTTGAGACTCAATGAAATAGTCAGTAGTGAAAGAGTTCCAGTGTTTTTTGTTCTTTAAACAAGGAGAGTCAAAGTCCTGGCTAATAACATGGAGATGAACATGACTGCAAAAGAAGAGAAAACACAAAATGTGTCAACATCAAATGCAGTATCCGCTGATCCTCACCCTCATGAACTTCAGGATTTGTAGACAGCAGTGTTTTTTGGGCATTTAGCAGAAAGTACTAATAATTTAAATACATTTCCATTTATTAAAAGTGGGTATATTCTATTTAAGTATTTTCAAATACTTGCCCTTTAGGGTAATGTTTTGATATATTCGTATATCATCAATAAATGACTTCTTATTTCTCTTTAGTATGTGATTCAAGAAGGGTTGTTTTGCCCACCCTTTCTTTTGCTCTGCATTATTTGCATGAAATGGGATAAAGCAGCAGTTATTACTGACCTCATGCTCGGGATGGCATGGTACCCTGTGCGGAAACTCAGTGAGCTAGAATCAGGGCACTGCTGAACCATCCGGTCAGCAACTTGCTGCATGTGTTTCACCAGGTCACAGTGCTCGCCACGCAGCGCCTTCAGACTGGGGATGGACTGCCATGGGAGGACCAGCCAGTGGTAGCGAGCTTTGGGGTATTTGTCTTTGATTACGACTACTTGATCATCCTTGTATACCTAGAAAATATGGAAGCAGTGACTTGGTGGGTAAACTCAATCCACTAGTGTAGGTATCGCACCAGCTGTAGATCTGTTTTTTTACAATAACTACCTGCATCTTTGGGTCTTGCATCGACGTCTTCAGACCTTGGCTCCAATTTCCAAAACTTTCCTATGATAGATTTCGGAAACAAGTTTATTTTCTATTACATACATTCACCAGCTCTGCAATATTAAGACACACACTTGTTTTGTTCTTACACTGGTGTGTGTAGCTTCTCCATGACTAACTGACACAGAGATCGTCTCTGTGGCTGCTTTCATTTTCGGAGCCTCTCTCTGGCTCTCTCTGTCCACTGAAGCCGACTCCCGAGGTCTTTTGGTGCCACTGGGGTTACCAGTGATATCCTCCTTGAAATGTACAGTATATGGATAGAGCTGATTGACAATATGAAGCTGCTGCCCAGGCTTCATTCTGACCTCATTGTCTACACCCACCACTACAGAGTCTACGGAGGTGGGATTTACACCGAGCTGTGGAAGTAAAGATATAGATGAGAGACTGAGTGTTACACAGCCTGTGCAGGAATATTCAGCAATTACTAGAACAAAAACGAATTACTCTGTAATGTGTCCAAAATAGTTAGCAATAGATAATCAAAATAACAGCAAGGACTAAAGTTATTCAATTAAATCCACAATAAGATTTAATTTATATTGTTTTCTTGATTTCACACAAAACAAAATACATATTTATTTATACATGTGTCTTACCTGCTTAACTTTGACATAACCTTTGTTGCATTCTGCTTTCAATTCAACTGGTTGGGGAGAGATACGATTTGAACAGATTGAAATGTGCTTTTAATCCTTTTAATGTTATGTACATTAATTATTTTTCTTCCAAAACACAAAAATACATAAAGAATATGAGAATGAATGTTAAAGAAACAAACATTGTATAAAATACCAGAGATGCTAGGATTCATAAATGTGAATCTATATACATAATAAATGTAAATGAGTATGGTAAAAGTTTTTGTCTTTAGATTTGAGCCTTTTATAAAAAATTTAACAGCACTTAATATAAAAATAAATGCAATGTTTGGCTCAAAATGAATCTAAAGGAGCATGATCAGGAGGTTAGGGTTAGGAGTGTTACACTCATGTATATTAAATAGATATAATTATTGATGCTTCATTATGTAAGTGGCATTATAGAGCTGCACTTGAAGATCACTGTCAGTCATGATTAATAATTTGCTCAAAACAAACTGTTGAAGACCAAAGATATTCAATATACTGACATTATTATTACTATTTATAAGACAGTGTTAAAGTCTTACATTTAACAAGATGGACCCATTCATTATTTTAACTCCTGTATGAAAGGTAACCTTGAATGACAAATCCTGAATAATGTTCAGTCCATTGACGAAACAAAGAAATGTAGTTTTGGAAAGTTTGGTTTGAAACAGGGCTTTGTATTTTAAGACATTGTAAAATCCTCTGCTTGACATGGAGGCACCAGTACAAGTACAAGTACTGCAGTTTTAAATGTACTTAGCTCCTCTCCTATCAAACACTCTCACACAACGTTTAATGGAACTTGACTTCACAGCGTCTGCTGTTTTAACGTGACGTGTTTAGCTCAATGCTAACACAGTCAGTGTACTGTTACCTTGCTGTCGGGAGCATTTCTTGTCTTTAATGGTGGTTTGTGGACCTCGACCCAGGACCACAGTCTGCAGGTGGGGCAGCTGGATGGGCCTGTGACTCCTCTCTTCACTAACGAGCCAACAAACCGGCATTTTAACATCACACTGAACTCTTCTCCTCCGCCTGATGTTCAAAACCCCGTCGCTGGCGGCGCCTTCACGCTTGTTTTGGTGAATCCTCCGGTCGCGCGAAAGTGACGTCACACGGAAGAATCTGGAAGCGTCGCAGCGCGAGCTGAAGTCTGCTTGTTGAACTTGTGAGGATTCTCGTCACTGACTTCTTTTAAGGTTTGAAAAGAAGAAACCACCGACACGTGTTTGTCTTCTCCTCCCGCCTCGTTTGAATTCACGTGTTTGGTGTCAGAGTAACAGGCTAGCTAGCGCGTTAGCATTAGCCGGGCTATCAGTGCTAAAGTACGTGGGGCCTGATGGACGTGGAGACTCGTTCTTGTTTTCAGCCTGAGCTCAGTAACAGGTAGTCGCTGGTTCATTCTTCCATGATAAATACGAGTCTTAACATCAGTTCTCGAAACAAGCTGACCCTCTGCTTGTTGTTCCCTCCAGGGTCTGACATCCTGTTATTACACTTTATATGTGAAGTGTTCGGCCTTATTACCTCTATTTTATTGAAGACAGTTTAATTCCTGTGGCAAACAGGTAGGTAATGTTGCTGTTTCTTTAAATGTTCAAGCTTCTGTTACTCTCGATGTCAGGAACTCCCCAGACAACTGTGTCCATCCTCAGTGTAATGCTGAGAGGAGACTCCCTCCTCAGAGACGCAGGTGGACATTTAGTGTTCATTGACATGTCCACTCACTCCTCTAAAGGTCGATGCTGTTTTCTCTTTTCTTTACACACTCATAGTCTATCATCGGCCCACAGTGAGGGCCTGTGCCTTCACTCTCAACTGCTTTCACTTTCAGTTACCTGGAAAATCCAAACATATTTTGCAGTCAGCGTCGCTGACATGTGCTGATATTTGGTTAAGTGTTGACTTACTCTGCACATGTTTTATTCGTTTGAACAAAAAGTATGAATGCTTAAACATTTGAAGGTGCTGCATTTCTAGTCTTGCTTTAAAAAGCTATCAAATGTGTTTCATTTTGGTAACATTGCGTAATCAGGACTGACGATTGAAATACTGATTCTTTTGCTGTTTGAAGGTTTTACTGTTAGAAGCAAACATGGTCAAGGAAACTGGCTTCTACGACACATTGGGTGTGAAACCTAATGCTACTCCTGATGAACTGAAAAGAGCCTATCGCAAACTTGCCTTGAAGTATCACCCGGACAAAAATCCCACAGAAGGAGAGAAGGTAAGCATCTTTCATAGCGGACATAACATAAGCATCTGTATTTTGCTGTTGTGTCACAGTTTTGTTAGAGTAAGTAAAAACAGCTGTTGTGCAACTTCTAAGTTAACCAGTTATCTGGAGAAGAGATTTTTTTTTTACAGATACCTAATACTTCTGTAAGCAAGTTCAGTTGGAATTACTTTAGATTTTTCTCAGTTTTTTGCGTGTGCCTTCTCTTTTTCTTTTCTTTTTGTGTATATATATAAAACACCAGAAGATGTATATGTTTTTAAATAATGGGTGTTTATATTCTGTCCCAGTTTAAGCAGATCTCACAGGCGTACGAGGTGTTGTCAGATGCCAAGAAGAGGGAGTTGTATGACCGTGGTGGTGAAAAGGCAATAAAGGAAGGAGGAACCGGTGGTGGTGGGGGGGGCTTTGCATCGCCTATGGACATCTTTGACTTGTTCTTTGGTGGAGGCAGTCGAATGCACAGAGAGCGAAAAGGTATGTTGTAATATTGAAATGATCACTGATCTTCAGTTGTACTTTGTAACCTGAGCAAACCTCCAGTATTTACTTGTCTCCCTGTAGCTGTTTTTATTCTCTCTCCATTTTATTTTTGTACATCAATCATTTTTTATTTGTGACTATGCATTTGGCCAAGAGGAAACCAACTATAGCCCAGTTTCATCTTTCAAATCATTATTCTCTTGATCACATTAATTATACAGTCTTTTTTTTTATTCAAAGCTTGGGCTTTGTAGCAGAAGTTTAGGTTTATTTATATGAATAATTTAAACCATAAAGTGTAAAGAAACTAATGACATATTTTCAACTGCAACATTAAATGATATTGTTCTCATAATATAATGTTTTTGTCTCAACCCAGGGAAGAATATTGTTCATCAGATTAGAGTGACGTTGGAAGATCTTCATAATGGAGCTACAAGAAAACTTAACCTGCAGAAGAATACTATCTGTGAGAGATGTGAAGGTACGTCTTTGACTACACATGGTACCTATATACTCTCATTAGCATCCATCACTGGACTCGTTTGGTATTCCAGGCAGGCTTTTTTAGCACATGCAGACCCAGGCAGGGCATAAAAAGGCTCTTTGTCCAATAACAAAACACAACAGTCTCCCTGACCTTTCTTTCCAGGCCAACAGAATTTATAGCTTGAAATAAGTCTAACACAAAGATAGTCTTGAACTTGTCTTTTTCTTTGTTTTCTTGTTAGGTAGAGGGAGTCGGAAAGGAGCAGCGCAGATGTGCATGACCTGCCATGGCACAGGCATGCAGGTCCGCGTGCACCAGCTATTACCAGGTATGGTCCAGCAAGTTTCCACAGTGTGCCACAGCTGTCAGGGCCAAGGACAGAGAATCAGCCACAAGGATCGCTGCAAAACATGTGCAGGCCGGAAGATCATGCGCCAGAAAAAGATCCTGGAGGTCCACATCGATAAAGGTGAGACTTTAGCAAACAATAATCTAATTGTATTTTATATATTTCTGGCTGGTTTGAGATTAAACTAAAAGCACACCTGATCATTTCATTGCAACAGGAATGAGAGATGGTCAGAAGATCGTTTTCCATGGAGAGGGTGATCAGGAGCCAGGACTTGAGTCTGGTGATATCATCATTGTCCTGGACCAGCGAGAACATCCACGTTTCACCAGGTCGAACATTCTCTCTTGTTAAATGTCTGGCACTGATATTTTCTGTGGTAGCAAGTGGAATGATGGTGATTTTATGGCAAAACGTGACAGATACGTGATAAATGTTCCAAATACGACACAGAAGATATAAATTCCTGATATGCAGATGAGAGAGTAGAATTAGAAAACGTTATTAGAGGCAACATTTGACTTTGCTGCCTGTTTAAATTTGAATTAGAAGCTTCACAATCTACATTAAGCATAGCAGTGCACTTTTTAAATTACCCAGCTCACCACGTAAACCACATAGTTTTGAACTGGTTCTTGCTGTCGTCATCAGGAAAGGAGAGGACCTGACCATGTCCATGGAGTTACAGCTGGTTGAAGCTTTGTGTGGTTTCAAGAAACCAGTTCAGACACTGGACAACAGAACTCTCCTCATCACGTCACATCCAGGTAAATCAAATCATTCAACGCTCAGCTCGTTAGTGATCAGAGCCGATGTCTGACAGTTACAATCATTCACCTGAATTTGAATTTGTTAGATTTTGTTCAATTGTGGCTTGTACATGACAGTCGCTGATGGCCACGAGGATTTGTAGAAGATTCCATCATCATTTAGTCAATTAGGGTCAAAATAATGTTTGCAGTTTTTCATGATTAATTTGACTCATGTGTTGGTTTGATTTGTTTTCCCAGGAGAATTGATTAAGCCTGGTGACACAAAGTGCGTCCTGAATGAAGGGATGCCCACATATCGCAGACCGTTTGAGAAGGGACGCCTCATTATTCACTTTTCAGTAAGATTTCTTTTCAGTATTCCCTTTATATAATATATTTTTTCTCCATTAAGTAATATCTTTATTGTACAGAAGTTGAATTAAAAGGAAACCATTTAACATCAGCCTCACATACACAATAAGAAGTTAGCATTTGTACACTTGTACATTAAAATGTCAAACTGTCAAGTCATGAACTGTGACCATGGTTATTTTCCATGAGGTGGTGTTCCCACAAGCCAACTTCCTCCCTGAGAACAAGCTGAAGGAGCTGGAGGGCTACCTCCCCGATAAAGTGGATGCCGAGCAGCTAGACCGTATGGACGATGACCTCTACATCTACGCCGACCTAGAGGACTGTGACTTGGAGAAAAGAAAACGGCACCACCATCAGTACTACTACATGGATGAGGACGACTACTCCAACCCGGGAGGTGTTCAGTGTCAGACGTCTTAAACTGCCACTGGCTTGTTCTTATTCCAGACACCCAAACCCTCATCTCTGAAGCAAAGCACCTTTTTTGAAAAGCTGAGCACTTTTTTTTTTTCTTGAAATCACAACTGACATTTTCTTTCCAGCTGAATCGCGAACATTCTCCTGATTTATTTTCATACATAGATTTATTGAGTGGAGTCTTAAAGTTCTTAAACTGAACTTGGATGCAGGTGAGTTTGATTCCTCGTCATCTCTGGGACCTTTGTTTAAATTCATATTTTTCCCAATCACACTGTGACCGAGGGCTGGTTTTATAGAAGCAGAAGAAAAACAAGGACTGACTGCTTCTAATGCAGTTCCACTAAAACTGATGGCCAATACTCATCTGAAAATAACCTCCACTTTTTATAGTGTTACTAAATCAGTTGTTGTGAACTACTTGTTGATGACTCGTTCAATCAGTTGTGTGTATGTGTGTGTCGACCCAATCTTCAGATTGTGGTGGTGCAGAGGGATATGCATCGATACTTTACCCTTTTAAAGGGCTATTTTCTAAACAATATTGACGATGTGACAGGTTTGTAATGATTCAGGCAGGAGACTATTTAGGTTCAAGCCACTGAATTGTAGATTATTCCAACTAATATATAAGTTTAGTTTAATATTTGTACTTTTGAGATGCAGTTAGTTGTCGAATTGTTGTGATGCCAGGGTTGTTTTTGTTTCTGCAACATGTGTAGAAAGGGGAACATCTCATACGCTCCTACACACGGCAGGGTAGGTATTCAGAGACAATAGAACTCACTTTATTTTGAAAAAGGATTTAGGAAACTGTTCATCTACATAACTTTACTCAGACTTTCATTAGGTATTTTAACGTAATTCTGTTGTACAGATAACCAAGATAATTAGGCTCCTATTTTTGAAATAATTTAATTTTAATTTCTCAAGTGCCAAGTTGCACCTAAGCTTAAGGAAAAAACATGTGACAGATGTTTTGGTTGTCGTTTTTATAAGACCAATGTTGAGGGTTTTTTCCCAGATATGTGATGTTAACATCTTTACAAGATGTAGATTCAGTACATTTTCTAATCTCGGTTTCAGACCAAAATCTGGAATTAAAATAGGACATTTTAATCAAGTAACTTCTTAAAGGGTTTTTGCTAGTGTCGGCCCACAAGCTATTAAGTGTCTTTTTATTCCCCCTTGATTCTAATATTAATGATAAATGCCATATTGGACTTGAAGTCGGCACAGCTGAAACCTCTCTGAAGTGTTTGCCTGTTTGAAAGCCTTATCATAACTTAACTTGAAGCGACATGATAATGCAGTTTTTCATGTTTGTTGTTTAGTTTTTTCACTGATTAATTTTGCCTTGATATTGAAAAACACATCTATGCTCACAGAGGTTCCTTACAGTTGTTTGACAGTAATTCTTCAAAACAGATGCAAACTTATGGTTCGTCAAACTGTTGAGGCTATTTAACTCTTTAAGTGTTGTCAAGGTCTTAATTTGACTGTTTGCATGTTAGGACCAATGATCCACTTGTTTGTGTTCATGTTTTCTAATTAAATGCAGTTTGATGGTCTTTCTATATTGTGGTGTTAAGATATGTCAGAGGGATTCCCCCCCCAGAAAAATCTGATATTTATAAAAAGTGTTTTATTTTAAACCATAACATTAATGTTTTATTACATTAAACATTGTGCCATTGTCATTTTGCCAACCTCCAGCTGTGCAACACTACACTTGACAATATAAGTTATTATTTTATTAATACATTTGTCAAAATGATAATTAACATCTGGATTATTAATCAGCCGCCTCAGCCTCTAATTTTTTTTTGTTTTCTGTAACAATAAATTCAATAGCTTTGGATTTGGAATATTAGTTGGACACAACAAGCTATTGGAATTGATAATTTGGCATTATTAATAGTGATGCTCAAAATATCAATCAACCATGGCAGCCCTCGTCTACACTGTCAAAAATAACTTGGCTGTTAAAGACAACATGGAAATGAGAAAAAGTTGGGAACGTTGTAAAATTA